TGTAGACAGACTTTAGCTGTTGTGCCGCGGCGCGACATGACAACTGTCGCGTCTGGCATAGACACGGTGTTAGTATGCGACAACAACAATCGTTGTCATTTAGGAATAAGAGTAAGTGGGGTTTGGATCGAGATTACGATCTTTTAAACGGGTGATATGATGTCCATTTTCTACAAGTTGATATAATTCTTTAGGGTCTTAATGAAAAGTCTGTAACATAGTTTGGTTAAAATTTCTCAATGGTAGTGTAAAAACACCTTTTTTTACCCTGTCAAAAACAGCTCTTTTCAGAGCAAGCCGTTTTTGTAGCATTTCCCTTTAAATGTTAAAGAGCTCTGCTGACCCCGCCCCTCTCTTCTGAGCTGCTCTCAGAGAGACTGTTTACTTTAGCCGCATTCATCGTGAAACTTGCATATTAGCACATTATTAGGAAAGGTGATTTGCAAAGATTCACTACAAAACCCCTGAACGTCTTCCGCGAACCACAGTCATTGGAAGTGAGAAAAAAGTGTTTATTACGTTTGAAATATGGATATTTATCTTACATAAATGCATGGATTCGCTACAGGAGGCCTTTATTCACCCCCCAGAGCCGTGTGAGGGACGTTTTATTACGGATGCACGCACTTTATTTCACGTCTTCTGAACTGTTGACAACCAACACCTGCTTACCCCCATTGAAAGGCTTGGAGGGGCCAGGACAATTTTTAATATAACTCTGATTGGATTCGTCTGAAAGAAGAAAGTCACATACACCTAGGATGCTTTGAGGGTGAGTAAAACACAGGCTAATTTTCATTTTTGGGTGAACTAACCCTTTAACAGCTCAGAAACGGCTGAGCCGCATCAGCCAATGAGCGCTGTCCCACGGCTGGCCTGGAAACCCAGCGTCTCCGGTGAGAGTAATCACCCCACTCTCCGTAACGAGTTCAGTCGGGATGTCTTATTTTACCTCAAGCATGCTCAGAGTCACAGTGAGGCTGCTGCAGCCATGCAAGAGATATAATAAACATGCAAATGTTGTAATAAACCCATGTGACCTGTGATCTGCTGTATGTTGAGTGTAGAGAACATGCATCTGCTTCATGCAACCCTATATAGTACATACACTCATGCACAAACAGATCCACAGCTTTCATGAAACATGCTCAAATATGTAGCTATTAATGCACACATTACAGCTGAACAATATTTAATGTAAATCAGTGCCATAATTTCTACTATGTAATTGTGTATTATTGTAATTTTGTAATGTTGTAAGTTTTTTTTTCTCTTTGTGTGTGTGTGTGTGTGTGTGTGTGGGATGCCTCATACCGGCAGAAAATTCCTTGTATGTTATGCATACCTGGCCAATAAATGTTGTTGTTGTTGTTGTAATGTGTTGCACTTGCACGTTATAAAGTGTGCAGTCAAAATATTTAATTATTATTATTATTTTTTTTATCTCTTTAAAAAAATTTGTAATTCTTAATATTAATCTTAATTTTTAAGTTTTTGATATAAGAATCAAATTCAGACTGAGATTGATTTGTTTTTTGTACAAATCTCAAAACAGTTTCATTGTTTTTATGAATTAATTTATTGTTTTTTTGTCTCTTCATTTTGACATTGATATCAGAATTTTTTTTTGACTATTTCTAAACTATTTCAAGAAAGGGTGTACATGTGTTTTTTTTCTTTCAAATTAATTAAATTTTTTTAATTAATTAAAAAAACCTACTATTTATTTTCTTAAATATATTATTTTATTATTACTTTTAAAATATTAGTTTATAATTTTATTGAACATATAGCTGAGAGGACTGCCACATTCACATTAATTAAAAATGTATTTCAAAATAAGAAATAGAATCAGAATTTTTATTGCTTTAATTTTAATTATTTATGTACTTATTATTTATTAATCTAATGCTAATTTGCACACATTATAAAGTGTGCAGTCATAACTTATTCTGTGAGTGTGCAGTCATAACTTATTCTGTTTTTGTTATTAAATTTGTCTTTAATTTCTTTTGTTACTTTGTCTTTTCCTTATTTTGACATTTAAATCAGAAAAGATGCATTGCTATTATTATGCAATATATATACAGTGGGTACGGAAAGTATTCAGACCCCCTTAAATTTTTCACTCTTTGTTATATTGCAGCCATTTGCTAAAATCATTTAAGTTAATTTTTTTTCCTCATTAATGTACACACAGCACCCCATATTGACAGAAAAACACAGAATTGTTGACATCTTTGCAGATTTATTAAAAAAGAAAAACTGAAAAATGCTCAGTTTTTCTGTCAATATGGGGTGCTGTGTGTACATTAATGAGGAAAAAAAATTAACTTAAATGATTTTAGCAAATGGCTGCAATATAACAAAGAGTGAAAAATTTAAGGGGGTCTGAATACTTTCCGTACCCACTGTATTTGTAATATTATTTTATTATTTTGTTGATCATATAATTGAGGGGACTGTATGGGATCAGATTCCCGCCAAATGTATTGCAGTCACGGATAAAAAAAAAGAACAAGCGTGAAACCAAAATTTAAAAACGCAAGTAAAATTATATTGCACAAAATTTAAAAATGAAAGCAAAGTTTTCAGAATAGCAAACAATGGTATTTTTGTATGCTTATGCTGTTTTTCCCTTTGCTCTTTATTTCCACATTCTGCGCTTCTTCTTCCAAATGTTGCGGGTTAGAGTTTCATATAAATCAGGGAGGGCTAAAACATCATCATTGGTCCACTAGTTCTAGATTGACAGCTCCACCTCTAGCCAATCAGACGAAGAGGGGCGCCTCATTACTGTTATATTCACCTGTATTTATTCGCCTCCGGTCACATCGCGAAAGGGATCAGCCACTAAATGCACCAGCCTCGCGAAGTAACTGATGTGCCTGGCTCGCCTTTACGTGACTGATTATAAGTCTTGTTATGGTCTTGTTATGGTTATTACTGTTAGGAGAGGATAATATGAGTAAGAGCAGGGGTTTTCAAACTGGGGTCCGTGTCGTATAAGCAAAACGTAAACAGGTAAAAGCGGGCACTTCAAGGTTTCTATAAATATATTTCTCATTCTGTGTGACAAGTATAACGTTAGACAGTATCGCTGAGTTTTTCTTCATTTCAGGAAGAGGTTCACAGAGACGGCAAGTGCATTTTGTATGTTTTCTTTATTTTACAAAAGTACAACGTTTCACTGTTATTTTGAAGGTACACAGATAAAAAATGTATCGTTTTGAATGATGTCTTGCTCTATCACATCTTTCCGCTAATGTGAGTAACCCAAGTGTTCGCGCCGGCGCCTCCCGCGCACACAACATAAGTTCTAGCATTGCAAACTTTACATCGCAGCCTCTTCATCATCAAAGTAAATGAGACAACTAAACATACAAAAGGTATTGGTGACTCAATTTAGCTTGTCTTTTGTACAATATGTAGGTTTTGCTGGTCAGCGCGAGCATCGCCATGTGCAAATGTTTATTAAACTGAATCAATATAACAAGAAGTATATTCTGAGTGAGTTTACTATTAATAGTAACTATTTTCTCATTTTACTCCATTTCGACAAAGAGTCCAAACAAAGCCACAGCAGAAGTGTCCTTTACAAGCAACACAGCAGCCTTTCATATTGAATGATTCACTTTATTCTTCATTGAATGAATCAGCCATTTGAATGAACGATTTAATGTCTTATTCTAAAGACAGTAACTTACCGCCACCTACTGGCTGTTTTACTTTCATATTGTTGTTATGTATAACTTTATTTATTTGAAACATTAATATGATAGTGTTAGGCAATTATATATGTAGCTATGCAAATAAACACAACATTTTGTGTGCAATTCGGATAATTTTGCATTTAATATTTCAGTTTTGTGCAATATGATTTTAAATGTGTTTAAAATTTTGATTTGTGCTTATTATTTTTTTAAATGCGTTATTAAATTTTTGATTTACACTTATTATTTTTTGATCCGTGACCATTGTTTGCTATTCTGAAAACTTTGCTTTCATTTTTAAATTTTGTGCAATATAATTTTACTTTTTGCGTTTTTAAATTTTGGTTTCACACTTGTTATTTTTTTATCCGTGACTGCAATACATTTGGCGGGAATCTGATCCCATAGGACTGCTGCAGCCACTGTAATAAAATTCCATTAATATTAATTATTCTTAAAATCCCTGCATCTTGGCAAAAGTGCCATCCACATTTTAAAAACCATATTTTCATTAATTTCCTTAATTTAAAAACGAAAAATTCAACCCGTTTATTACTTCAATTTTAATTCGTTTTACCATTTATATTTCTTGCTTTGTATACAAAAAATGCAATTGATGCACTAGAGAGCGCTGTTGTCCTCAATCTCTATTGCATTGCATTATAACCGGTTAATTTTGGTCCCAAAAACTTCACCATAGCCTAAACAAAACAGGTCAGGTGATGATTTTGTTCATCAACGAAAATACGAAATAGAAGCTGTTTTCTAATTTCAATATTAATTCAAAACACGAATGATCGAGTGATACATGTATTTAGTTCTTTAGGCGTCCGCAAAGTTGTTTTCGCTATTCGTTCATCGACAAGACTGACCATTCTCGGATACAGATTAACATCTATCAAGTTCTATCGGCCCAATGCTTTCCTACAGCCCTGCTGCTCTTCACGACGACGGTGACTGTGAAGAACCACAAACACTGCTCTTCAGCTCAAACACTGTGCTCGTCTGACTCAACACCGTTCACTTTCACAGAATCTGCCATCATTTACTACAAACTCACCCTATTCTTGTGGATATTTGGCATTGAAACACTGTTTAGAGGACATTACCCATAATCCCTTGCTGCTTTAATTTGCATACACAGTCTGACTTACAGAAAAGAGGTTTCCAACACAGTTTTGACTTTTAAATGTTAGTGAATGTCATTTGTAATGTATGTTATTGCTATTATTATTAAAATATCCTACTTTTTTTATTATTTTGATGAATATGTTTGGTCTTTTTAAGGTGGCGCTGCTGGGAATGGACATAGTATCTGCTTTAGTGACCAGACTACAGGAACGCTTCAAAACACAAATAGGAACAGGTGAAAATGTTTCTATAATAATAATAAATTATTATTGTTATTATTATTATTATTATTGTTGAATATTTATTTGATTTATATATTATTCATAATTATATTAATATATAGATTAATATTTATTTTATAATATTAAATTATATTTTATTTTTTTATATTACAATGATTAAAATGTACTCTTTAAAATGTAACGCTTTTTAAGTAAATATTGTAAAGTTTTATGTATTTGATCACTTCTTTGAAACTAATTTTTGTGACAATACAGATGCTAATAATTTCATCTAATCTTCATAATATGTGTTATTTTTGTTTTTCTCTCAGTTCTGCCCAGTTTAATTGATCGTTTAGGCGATTCTAAGGACCAGGTTCGAGATCAAGCGCAGTCACTTCTATTAAAAATCATGGACCAAGCGGCCAATCCGCAGGTGAGACCCTCACAGCGTCCAGCTTTAGAGTAATATGACATCAATTGTGGCTAAAACTTATGAAAGTATTATTGTTTGCAGTATGTTTGGGACCGAATGCTGGCCGGATTCAGACATAAAAACAACCGGACCAGAGAAGCTGTTTGCTTTTGCCTTATTGCCACTCTTAATGTGTATGTACCTGTGTTCTTTTATTATAATTCAGGGTTTTTATTAATATTTTGAATCATTTTTAATTGTGATATGTTTTTTCTTCTTCTTCTTTTTAAAAAATAATTCTAGATGTTTTAGTAATTTTTTATGTGCTTTTTTCATTTTTAGTTAAAAAAAAATAGTTTTTATGCATTTTTATTTCAGTTTTTGTTTATTATTTTAGTACGTAAAGTTAAACTAAATTAAAATAAGTTGCATTGGCAACTATTTGAAATAAAAATGAATGAATGAATGGTTTTCAGTATTTTATTTCAGGTAACATACAGCACATTTATTGTATGGTTTTAGTTTCAGTATTAAAGGGGTCATATGATGCGATTTCAAGTTTTCCTTTCTCTTTGGAGTGTTACAAGCTGATTGTGCATAGATAAGATCCAATTGTAGTTTTATTCAAAACTCTATTTGTTCTCATGTTCTGCAGATCCGGAGCTCACGGTTTAACCCTTAGCAAGATAGTCCCTCATATTTGTCATCTGTTCGGAGACCCAGCGAGTCAGGTGAGAGGGTTTTGTTCTCCTCTTCCTCAGATCACTGGGTTGTAGCGTCCCCTGCTGGTCATCACAGGAACTGCTGCTGACATCCACAGCACTGTGGCTATACCATGGTATAGTGATGGAAATACCATGCTATTGTGCTTATATAACATGTTATTGAATGTTTACTGTATTCAGTCATATTAACATGCCACTATATAGATATATGGAGTACCACAATGCAATGCAGATTGCGATTGTTTAGTATTATATTTTGTGTAGTTTCACATAGTCTATGCTGTGCATCAAGCAGCGCTTCTGAACAGTTTTTGAGCGTACTGTTAAAAGCATCTGATGAATGACTGGATGTTTCTGGTCAGGTTCGTGACGGTGCGATGAACTGTCTGGTGGAGATTTACAGACACGTCGGGGAGAGAGTGAGGGTGGATCTGGGGAAGAAGGGGCTGCCGCAGTCACGGTAATAAAACCACATCAATAACAGTTATTATTATTAAAATCACGTCCTCATAGCAACAGTGTTAACCACATTTTACAAAACAGATTTTTATGTAATTTATTACAAATGCATTTTAATTTTGTTTTGTTTTAATTTAATGTTATACTTTATTTTTAACTAAATATAATTTAATAAGTGTTATAAAAAATGGTTTTACTTATTTACTGTGCCAATATTGTGTGCTTTTTATTCTTCATCTTTTTTTTGTTACTGTGCCATCTACATTTTACAAAACATTTTTATGTAATGTATTGAAAATGTATTTAAATTTTTTTTTAAAAATCATTTTAATTTGAATGGGAATTTAATATATATATATTTTTATTTTTATGCATTTTTAATGTAATTCTTTTTTTAAAGTTATTTAAAAAATGTTTTATTTTTTTATACATTTGCATAAACTACTTCATAGTTTTGATATCGTATGCTTTTTTATACTTTATCATTTCTTTTTATTTTTTCCGCTACAGTGCCATCCATATTTTACAAAACATTATGTAATCTTTTGAAAATGTATTAAAATTTGAGAAACATTTTTTAGTTTTAATTTGAATGACAATTTAATTTTAACTTTTCAAAACTATAACACCATTTTTAATTGAATGATTATGAGTTATTCTAAAAATAAAAACTGTAATTAATTTATATTTTCTTAATTGTCTTTGGTTTTATTTATTTACAGTGCCCAAACCACTTCATAGTTTTGATATTGTATACTTTTTATAAAATTTTTACTTTTTATTTTTTGTTTAATTAATCAATCAATTTATTTATTTATTTTTTGTGCTGTTTATAAATCCCTTTATGATTTATTTAGTAAAAAGGCTTATAAAAGAACACTTTATTGTATGCTGTGTTGCAAATTTGACAGATAAAGTACTGACAGTCTTAGTGTGTATTTGTGTTTGATTTCTGCTCTTTTCTGATGAGCTCTAATGAAGTCTTTCTTCGGTCTGTTTTGTTCAGATTGAATGTGATTTTCAGCAGGTTTGATGAAGTCCAGCGGTCTGGGAACATGATCCTGTCCTCAGGTGAGTCAGTCTTGTTATAACTGATGTCACACGTGATGATCTGTGTGATGTAATAAGACACTGTTGGCTGTAAATCACTTTCTATCACTGTGAAAGCGTATGAAAGCACTATCAGGTGCTGTATGACGTTACTGGCACATAAACGGTGTTTTTTTCTGTGTGTGTGTGAAATGCTCGCCGCTGAGATTGTCCCCATTGTTAGGCCATTGTTTCCTCGCTGCCCCAGTTTCAGTGTGTGTGTGTGTGTGTGTGCGTGTGTGTGAGTGTGCGCGTGCGAGTGCGTGGGTGTGAGTGAGAGTGTGAGTGAGTGAGAGTGTGTGTGTGTGCGTGTGTGTGAGTGTGCGCGTGCACGTGCGAGTGTGTGTGAGTTGTGTGTGTGAGTGTGAGTGAGTGCGTGTGCGTGTGTGTGTGTGTGGGTTTGGTTTCGTTTAACTGGTTTGGTTTAAATTTAACTCATGATTGCTCAAAAACAGTCCAAATTTATGAAACCTACATATTTATTTCTAACAAAACAACATCAAATCAACATAAATATTACTCTGAGAAGTTTTCAAACAAAATAAATTGATTTACTTGCATAAACTTTCTCTTTCAGTAACAAGTGATCAAAAGGAACATGTTCATGTTTATCAACAAAACTCAGTGTGTGAGATAACTTACAAAAGTTTTTGACACTAATATAACTTCATAGTTATTTTTGCAAAATAATTTTTCACACCTAATGTTACTTCATACATACAAGGGTTAAACATAATAAATAATAATAAAAATAAAGTTATATCTCTTAAAAAATAATTGTACAAAATCTGAAAATAAATAAATAAATAAATAAATAAATGATGTGTAATTTGAGGGTCTTAAAGCATTTGCAAAGTTTTTAGAAATTGTTTATCATTTTGTGTAAGTATCTGCTATACTGTTAGAAGATCTCACTGATTTACATTTACATTTACAGTACATTACGATCTGAATTTCATCATATAAATATCAGCATCTGCAGCAAATTGCATATTTAATTTTTTTTTTAATTGAGCTGTTTTTCCTTCCGTGTTCTCATGATATCAGACTGTATGAGTCATAAAACCGTATGCATCAAATGTGATACTCAACAAAAAACACATATGCAAACTTCTCTAGTATATTTTGTGTGAAGATTCCGTAATAGTACTCCACATGACTCATGCTCTATATTAAGTCTTCTGAAATCATATGATGGTTTTAATCATATGATGAAGAACAGACTGAATCACTGAAGCTCAGTTATGAATATCATCAGTTTTTGCTTCATTTTTGTGTGAACTATTCCTTTAAATGCGAGTGAGGTCAGTAGAGAGGGAGTCACTGCAGAGGAGAGCAGCGCTGTGTGTGTGTGTGTGTGTTCAGTCACAAGACTAGAGAAACACACAGCAGAGCTTCATTACTGCAGATCAAGCCTCCGTCATGAGCCATGACAGCAGGGGATGGTAAGATCATGTGAACGTTACTGCTCTGGATGTGTTTCAGTAGAGCACTGCAGGTGCATTGAAGACGTTTGTTGCATGTAATGCATGTGAGGATCAAGTGTTCAGGGTTTGGTCTTATAGTCACTCTCATTTCTGCATCTTCTGAATGTCTCGAGCTCATCTCGTATCTCTTTTTTCTTCCGTTTATAGGCTGCAAATGACTTGAAATCAGCATCATTAGCATATTAATGCTGTTTTAACGGCTTGTTATGTGGCGTTCGGTTCCTGTGAGTTTGTGAGCCGCGTCTCAGGTGTCTGAAGTGCTCTGAAGTATTCATGATCATCGACTTAATATATGATACTCTGCGACTCAGTTCAGCATCTTTTTAATTTCTGGTGGCTTTAGCTGCTCTCACATTCACCTGAGGCTTCTCTAGAGCAAAATATTCCTGTTTTCACCTTGTTTTCACCTGGTATTTACATCATGATTGTGTTCACTAGTGATCGGGTTTCTGTCTTTGAGGAGACGCTCTCTGATTTCTCTCTGATGACTTACATTTATATAAAGTGCAAAATAAAATGCACAAAATGTAATTTGCATAAAAACATAGATTGATCTAATTTAATAGAAGATTTAAACTGATAAACCCTTGACTAACTGTGAGTTGTCTGAGTAGCTCTTAAGATATATTCTTAACATAGTGCTGTTTTGATCCCAGATTACAAAACATTAAAGTTAAAGGGATAGTTCACCCAAAAATGAAAATTAGCCCATGAATTACTCATCCTCAAGGCTTCCTATATGACTTTCTTCTTTCAGACGAATCCAGTCGGAGTTATATAAAAAATTGTCTTTGATCTTCCAAGCTGTTTAATGCCACTCAGCGGGTGTTGCATGAAGTGAAATAAAGCGCATCCATCCATAATAAAAAGTGTCTCACACGGCTCCGGGGGGTGAACAAAGGCCTTCTGTAGCGAATCGATGCGTTTTTGTAAGAAAAATATCCATATTCAAAACGTAATAATCCGTAAAACGGAGTTTCACAAGTTTAATACTAGCACTAAAATAAACACTATGATGCTTGACTTTACAACCATAAAATCGGTTAATAATAGTCTATAGAGTGTTTCAGTAACTGTAATGAACAGAAAATGAGCCACTTTTTTCCCCGAGGTTTGTGATTTCAGAGACTGAATGTTGCTTTTGTGCTGCGTTTCTCAGCTGCCAATTAACATGCTGTGATGAACAGAAGTCTGTACATGTGAATCACAGAGAGAGAGGCCTGTGCAGTTTAAGACAGTCTTAACACTGTTTTAATGAAAGCGTGTGCTCGATAGAGAAACGCTGAAGGGATTTCGCTGTGTTTACAGCATCTTGTGTGTGTTTCGTGAGAGTGAAAGTGTGTGTGGGACGTTTTGAGATCAGCCCACACACACACACCACAGCAAAAAATAAGCAGCTTTGGATTGGACGCACAGCTCAAATAGGACATTTTTTCACCTTCGCTCGGTCCAGCTACTCGTCACTTCATACGCAACACTTTAAGTAGGTTAGAGAGCGATTTGGAGGAAAAATGAGCACCATTGCTCAGATATTGTGTGTTTGTGCCTTGAAGGAGGGAGAAGGATCATGTTGTTTGATGCATTAATGCACACGCAGATACGGAGCAAAACCTATCATCATTCACCCTAAAATCAAATGAAATTATATTTTGCATGAATAAAATGAAGCCTGGGACCATTTAAATTTTTCCATTATGACTTTATTTTCAGGACAATTAAGTAGATTTAAATTAAATTCTTTCTAATGTAAAGAGAAAAATGCATTTTTATTTATAGATCGTGCAGTATTTATTGGTTAGGATGGGTTCTTGTTGAATGCTGAAATAAAATAAAATACAAAATCAAATATATTCTCATTTTCGTTTAATTTAAGTTACTAAATTTTAAGTTTAGTACAGTATATAGACATATTAAAAAAGTGACAAAAACACAACAAAAATGCTAAAACTTTAACTAAAATGAAAATGAAAACAGAAAATATAAAAAAATTTAATCTAATTGAAAATATGAACAAAAACTATAATAATATATTAGTACACTAAAATAGCACTGAGTCAGAAATATATCCATCAAATTGATTAATTAGGTGTTTATTGAGGTGATCAACTTAGATTAAGTAAGTGTTCACTTCTTATTCCTAAATCTACAGTTTTATGCATAATGGACTTAAAAAAAAAAAGGGGCGAAATTTGAGAAAATATTGTGTAAAAATTAAATATTGTTTTTTTTTTTAATATATGTATTTTGTGTGCGTCTCATTAGCTTGGATAAATGTATTATATGTGCATTTTGGCATGATATCAGCCGTTCTGGTGTAATAAACTGCAATGGTTATGAAGAATTAGTCAGAGATGGAAGAAATTAATTGTTAATAACGATTTACAAAAAAGCAGCTTCACAGTAATGAACATTAAAAATAACAGTATTAATTACAGTATGTTAAATTAATCAATTATAAAACAAATTTGATTAAAGTAGCTCTAAAAAAGACAGTAGTGCCATTATTCATTATCAAATCAGTTCAATAGTATTATTTGCATTTTAAACCCCAGTAATTATTAGTAACATTATATTTACTTCTTAACATTTTTTAAGCGGATATGGCATTATTGTGCCGTATGAAACTCGGTTTTATAAAGTTTTCCTTTCATCAATAGTTCCATATGAAACGTTCCGTTGCATTCATTTACTTCACCAGAAAGTGACATATTTCTAAAATACAAACATGTTCTGTAACACAAGCTACCAGCTCATTATTGAATTGAATTGGATATACTTTATTGTCCCATTTTTTTTGGGACAATAAAGTCTTGGACATTTGTCTTGGACTTCACATGACACGACCAGTTATCAATATTGAACTCACATAACACATACAGGATCACATAATTCAACTTACAGTAAAAATAAAAATATAAATATTGCAACCTACTGCATGCCTAGACTTAATTTTAATTTTATAATTAAATTTATTTTTAATAATTTAATAATTTAACTAAAATTAGCACAAAAGATGTTCCGTAACACAAAGTACCTGCTCATTAGTTTTAGTGTTCTGCCACCTGCTGGTGAAATGTGAGAAGTTTTTTTGAATAATCTGATATTTATCACAATATTCTTAAAATATTAAATGATTAAAATATTGTAAAATAATCAATTTTTTTATTTTGCATTTTGACTTATAACCAGAGCTCTGATTATTTGCTTTGATTATTTGTTATACTCTATTTTTATATGTTTTAAACCAGTAAGGATTATAAATAGTGACGTGTTTCATCTCATACAAAGTGGTTCATATGTGTTATGAATTTGAACTCAAAAACTAATTAAATATGGCTGAGGACTGTTCTGACTCTTTCTGCAGCATTATTGTGTGTGTTTTTGCTGTATTATCTGCTGGTTAACCTGGTTTACTTGTGTCAGTCAGTGTGTGACGGTGTGTTTGTCAGCAATGATGATGAGTGTGTGATTTCAGCCAGAGTCATGAGCGGATGC